CAATCAGCATCTACGTTACCTTCCTTTTGTGGGACTCTGCAGATATTAGACAACATCTGAGCCTGTGAAGCACTTCTTAAAGACGGTGGCTAAACTACCTGGATCTAATGAATTGAGAGATGAGGGGATCTAGCAGCTGGAAGGGGTAATGAGGCCCCTACCGTGCAAATACAATGTGACTATATCACAAAATACTACTTCTGAAAAATCATCACTAATTGAAAAAAAATTGGATGTAGATCACTTATTTGACTTTAATACATAGGGCTTAGAACCTGGTTTTGTCAAAACAGTAACAGCCCTACAATATCAATAAGGACTGAAGTTGTACATTCCAATTCCACAATACTTGAAAGTTACGAGGGCTTATCTTTTTCAAACTGACATCTGTGTTTGCAACTCATTTCAAAAAGCTAATAATACTCCTTGAAACTTTCAGCCTAAGATGTTAGAGACTTCTAAATTAGAAAAATGGTGGAGAGTAGATTTGAGTCAATAGAAGTATTTAGCTAGCCCAACCCAGCTGACGTTTTCCTTGAGCATACAGTTCTCCCAACTTTGTCATGACTCAACTGAATTAAAAATTACAGTCAAACTAAAGTTAGAAGGGACTTAATTTAATCCAGTCCCCCAAACAGGATCAAATATACCTACAGCATTCCTGAGAGATATTTAATCTGCTAAAGGCATCCAGTCACAGAGACTTTAATGCCCCCAAGAAATTCACTTAAATGCTTTATTATCCTTACTGCTGAAAAACTCTCTTAACATCTACTCTGATTTTTTTGCGGCAATTTAAGTTATTTCACGTCTGTAGTCAACAAGAAAATAGTTCATTTTCTTCATTTAAGAAAGAGACAAGAAATAACCAAAGTTCACTGTTTCATACCACTGACATTTCACTGTCTGAACGCTTCACACAGCAAAACCGACTTCATGAATGCTTGAGTAGCCTGGAAAGTGTGATTAGATATTTGTTTCAACTTCTTTTCCATCAAAACCAGCATAAACCCTACAAACACAAACCACGTTAAACTGCAAGCAAAAATATAATGGCTACATTTTGATAAACGCTTGGCTTTTTTTCCCCCATCATCTAAACAAACACCAAACTAGAACAACAGACAAACAGCAGGTCCACAGACTGCACAGTAGTTTGGAACAATCTTATAGAATCAGCTTATGGGGAAAGGAGAGGGGAAGGATGAGGGTTTCCGTTTTAAAATACGACGTTTTCACAGCAGCATGAGATTAACATTTAACAAGTACTGCTTTAGCAATGCTTCAAAAGCAATTACATTTATCCTCTACTTTTGAATCTCTATTAGAAAATACTTCTAATAAGAGGCTGCTTTAGGAAATTGCTATAGTTCACTTGCAGTTTCAAGGACTCAAAAGAACAGAGTATCCGTTTCCCAATCTTTGGTTAACTAAGTATTCAGAAACTCTATTTACATGGTTACTGGGAAAATTCTACTTTGCTTATCAAAAGGAGAGCAACGTGTTTCTTCTGAGAGAACCTAGAAATACCTAAGAGGTCTTGAATGTGTTCAATTCAACAATTAACTATGATGCTGTTCAAAAACTGAGAACATAACATTACATCGATACCAACTCCAGGAAGAGAGTTGCTCTCCACTTTCTTCCCTCCCAAAAGCAAGAGTAAAAATATCAGTGGAAACTTTATGTACTCTAACCGCATAAGTGAGGATGCTCCCAGCTTCTTCCTTGCTATTCTCATCTGCTGAATCAGAAGTGAATCAACGCTCTGAAATGCAGTGAGATGCTATGCAAAGAGCTCTAAAGAATTAACACAATCTTTAAGGGTAAGCATGGTTCCAAACATCCACTGGAGGCTCCACTTTCTCATAACAAGAACAGAAAATGCTTTACACCAATACCAGTGAACACTTTGTATTGTGAAGCCACAGCCAAAATTATTACAAATCACTGAGTTCTTTTCTATCAGATAATCCTACCGTGTCTGTATGTTTGGCAGGTTACCAAACTATGCACAAAAGGATTCATTAAAATTTTCTTCCAATTTTTCCAGTACTGCAGTGCAGCTAGGTTTGCATTGCTTATTCCCCTTTGCTAAAGGAGGTATTTCTTTAACTGCAGGGCTGTAATTTTGAACGGAGGACCACAATACACTGCTGTTAACAGCCATGTCATGTCCAGTATCACTCAGCTTCCATGCTGATGACAATTAAGCAATCCCATTCCTTCCCTGCCCTGCAGCATGGTGTTTTCTAATAGTTTTTTGGACAAATGTTTGCAGGGCTAAGCCATGAACAAGGAAAATAAAAGTTGCTGACTATATGCTTTTAGAAAGAGGCAATCTAAACTGGATCACTTTAACTAGATCTGCAATCTATTTCTAGCACGGCCGTGCAAACAGTTTCTCTAACACAAATGGAAGGAGGAGGGAATGGACAGCTGAAAGCTCCAACAGTGCTGTTGAGGCTCCCTGCCACACAACTGTGACTCAAGCCAACAGCAGGGGTGCAGCAGGAACTTACCTAACTAAGCTACTGACTTGAAGATGCACAGCAGATAAGAGTCAAGACAAGATACTTTGGGGAATAGGGGCTTAAAACAAACAAAAACACACCACCCTTAGAGATACTGGCAACGGTTAAAAATAAATGTAACTGCTCAAGTTGCACTATTAGCTTCAGCAAATCAAAGTGCAGGCTACTGCCAAAATGAGCAGCATTATAGTTTTCATTCCCGCCCCTTGCTGGCACTTCCCCACGCTCCCCTGCACGTCCTTAGTTTTCAGCCAATAAGCCAGGAGCCACATAGCCCTGGGAGCATTAATGGGAGCACCACCACACTGAACTAGCCTTCTTAACAGGAGTCACAGTCAGCATGCATTTAGGTGATGAGGGAACTGCACCCTGACTCAGACTCTTGACTTTAACACTTGTAAATTCTGCTCAAATAGGAAAGCAGAAGTAGGAGTTGGGTGAACGATAAACAGATTCCATCCTACCTAGGTATGTGCTCCACTGCTAAATTCTTCAACATTATACAAGGCTTCCCTTTAAATTTAACCAAATTCTTTATGGAATTGACTATTTCTGAATATGTGACTTATTACACCTGCCATAACAGATACCTGGGTAAGGAGGTACAGCAAGAACTCAACATAGTAGTTTAAGTAAATCTCTCTGAAACAGCCCTCAAACATCTAAGTTCTATTCATTTAGTACTTGTTTATGCTTGCTAAAGGAACATAAAGTGATTTGAATCAGTATATAGCCTGTTGGCTAAATATCAGGATAATCCACGCACAGAAACTGTATGAGTCAAACTCCTCCCCTTGCCCACAGACTTGCTCTCTTCACCTCAGCTGACCTTTCTTCAGGGTAGCAGATCTCCATTCCTCCATGCAAGCAGCAGTTCCTTCCAGTCAGCAAACCATTACTATCTCTTTTTATGTGTAACCATCTATTTGTCCTTCTCCACTCTCCCCAGCAGATGCCATCCCCAAGTTCTGTGCAGTCATGACAAGCAGAAATTAAGCTCTCTACACAGTGACTATTCCTTCACTCCTTCCAGGGAAAAGTACAGTAGGAAGCATTCCATGAGCCATCTGATAATGCCATTGTGGTGTAAATCAATGGGAACAAGGTACATTCGTTCAGCTAAAACTGTGCCCATACATAGAATTAACCATGGACATAGTGCAAACAAATTTGAGTCACTCAGAATTCTCTGTGCTTGAGCTTGCATGTTCCAGAATTAGTCTATGTAGCAGTCTTAACAGAACAAAAAAAAGTTAAACCGAGTAAAAGCTCTATGCTTAGCATAGGTCTCAACCAAAATAAATCATTTAAAGTTCTAATCATAAGCATCAAGCTTTTACAGTCACAGTATTAATACTAGCCTCACCATGAGAGTCACGCTCTTCACAGATGAACTTGTTATCATGAAGAAGGGAAAAAGCAAGGAACGGGTGGAAAAAACGTGAACAAAAAAAACAATCTTGGGCATTTCGGTTTTTTTTTTTTTAGCTGTTTTAGAATATGTCTAGATTCATATAAGAAATTCTATTTTGAACAAATTAATTTTGTTGGCTGTTCTAATTCTACAGTTCTAATGTACAAGCAAGCTATTAATTGGTCTCCACTCCCAACAAATCAGTGGCTGTATCACACACTATGTAACTTTTACATAGTTTAAAAAAAGTGAGTTTGATTTTGAGCACGTTACAAATATTTTTGTTCCTTATGAAATTGTCTTTGGTCTGGAAACTAGATCCTGATAAAGCTAAAGTTGCATATAAAATTAGTTCTATTACTGCTGTTCTACATTATAAAAGCCAGTTTGTTTAGTGAACTACTTGTATATTACAGTATCAAATAAGCAGTGGACGAATTAAGTTTTCCCGAGCAAATCATTTTCCTAGGTGTTTTAAGTTTGCCTTATTTAAAAAAAAAAAAAAAACTTACCTTTTTTTAGTAGGACTGCCACAATGTATTCCATTTATGCTCTGGACAAAAATATGTTGCAATGCACTATATATGCAAATAAGCTTTGCTCTGTCATGCAGCATCCGGCACTAGATACACAGTCAATTTCAGCAGCACCCACTCTTTGTAGGGCCCATTTTCTTTGCAGAGCAGATGTTACAGCTCATTTTTCAGTAAATATATGCTTATATGGGTTGATTGTAAGTAAACAAAGCCAAACATCTGTTTAGTAATTAGTTTTGGTATCCATTTCTCTAACTTGCATTATCCCACTTAATTATCAACACCAAAAGAAAGCCAGTAGAAGTCACATACTCCAAGTTGATGCGGGTTAGTACAAAAAGGAAAAACAAAAGGAAAACTCAAAGCACTCCTCAAAGACCATCATGCAAGTGTTGCAGAAGGTTAAGCCCATCACCCATTTTTGTTTACCCTTGCAAGGACTTAATTATGCGTGCAATAGTCTTTGCATAGCACCCATTTAATCCATGCCACCAAAACGGTAAACTTGGTAGTTACCAATCATTTAGATGGGGGTCAAAAGGGCTAATGCCTTAGATTGCTCTTAATCATAAGATATCCTCAGACAAACCTCCCCAGTCTTCATTCTGGCTCTACAAACACAAAATCAAGCAGCAGTGAAAATGTAATACCAACTACTTCAACAAACTATTTATAACTTATTTCCATTTAAAATAAAAGTTAGAAAACATTCTAAACTACATACAAAAGTAAAGTCAGTTGTTTTACTCAAACGCACTTCAACTATTGTTACTTTAAGTTCAAACAATTTTATTAGGTTCTGCTAGAAGTCTATTCTTAAGAAAGCATACAACAGAAATGCAACCGTAAAGAACATCTGTTCAAGGATTCCAAGCAGATGCATTAAAAACCTTCATTCATTTTTGATTTTTTAATGAGATAAAGGATATTATAATACCTTAAAAAAAGCATAAGTTAGAGTTATTTAGAAACCTTCACCTGTGCTTGAAGGAAGATTAATTCGAAGGAAGATGAATTTAAAGGTTTTGTTTTTTGTTTTTTATTTTTAAAAGAACATAAGATCACTTGTTCATTACTGTAACCATAAGAGAGACTGACAGCATAACAGAACAGGATGCTACAAAATTTACATACATTTAATCCATTCTAAGCTTCACACAGTATTATTAACATTGATCTTAGAGTAAGATTTGTTTCATAAAGGGAAATAACAAGAGTTGCATTCAATTGATTTATCTACCATCTCTGGTGCAGCGTAAATGATTTAATTCAAGAGCTATGTAATCATAGTCACCCGTCTAACAGTTATCATTGTTACTTGCTGACCTATATTCAGGTGGCAATAGTTGGTGCAAAAAGTTTTAACATTTTCACTTTAATCTACCCCTTAATCAAACTTATTTAGATTTCTCAAAATAATTTTGGACAAGAGTCCTTATCAGACATTTTTTGCCTTTTTAAATTAAATTTTCAGCATAAAACTTGAAATATATACCCTTTTAATGCATCTTAATATCCAAAACCAGAACTATTACTTTTCCTAGCTAGCTTGGCAACAGCAAACATAGATGCCTCTTTAAAATAAATGAATAAATAAATAAATAAAACAAAAGCCCCCAAACATATACCACTACGTGCCTGACATTTGCACAACACACAGAAAAGACCACAACAAAAATCCATAATCTAAAAACAGAACACAACACAATGTGACGCCTCCTGGAAGTGTTCTACTGTTCTGTGGAGCTCTAAAACTATTGTCACAGGCAGCCTGAGTTTTGAGAAAGACTAATAGCAGTGCAAGGTAACAGATCATCTCACACAGTAAGCAGGGACACTAGAGTAAAATGGAATTTTCTCCTCACTATCTCAGGGTTCAAACATCTAATATTGCTCTTTTCAGCATTCTTCCAAAAATCAAGGAATATATTCTATTAAGATACAGATTAACGTGCTCAAAAAGAGCATCTAATTTGGAAGATAGGACACATCTTCATTGTCAAGTAGTCTTCCGCAATTGGTCAATGAATTTGCTATGTCTGCTGACCAAAAGCCAGCGACTCAGCTCCTGAAAACGAGAATGGTGCATGCAGCAGTACTAAAATTTTCATTGCATCACCCTGATGCAGTGCTTTTACAGACAGCTCTGGAAGAACAACTCTTAAGGAAAAAAAAGGTCTATCAGGAGTTCAGTGTACAGATAATAGACCCTCAACAGATCTACAAGGATTGCTTATGCCACTGAATAATCAATTTCATAGGCAGTTTTGTGAAGTGCATGCTGTTCATTAGTAGTTGAATTCACATCAGAGGCTGCACTGAATAGCTAGGAAGGACTGACTTGTACTATTCTGTCTTACTTATAATTGAAACATCCTAACGTTTCCATTCTCAAAATGGATTGAATGCCCATTTAACACTTATAAGGAGGATTCCTTCCTCGCATCTTTTTGACTCTTACGAAGGTCTAATCAGGTTCTAATTTTCTTAATAAAGTTTACTTGCATCCTACATGCATACATTCCAACTAAACAAGATCATTAAGAAAAGAGGTGAATATTAATGGAGATTGATTTACTAAAATGAGATTTCAAAGGTCTGCAAAAAAGCAGCTCAGGTGAATAGCAGACTGCTCTCTATTATTTTCAATTCCTAAAGTGAAGCATAGGTTAAGACCTGACAACGTGTTTCTGGAAAGACAACTGGACCTCTAAAGCGTTTAGAAATCACAGCCTGCAAAGCTATATGACACTGAAGTCTTAAGTGTTAAGACACATCCAGAAAAGCAATAAGCTTCACAAAGAACGTTAAGATACTGAACTGCACTTCTAGAAGAAGACTCAGTGACTCTGATACGGACCACTGAATACTTCAGTGATCAGAAAAAAAGCAGTTTGAGAATGGAGAGGGGTGGAGTATTTCATGACGACTTCCTGGATACTCAATACCACTTTTTACTGGATACTCAATACCACTTTGATAGAAGCCTTTGATATTAACAATTACAAGTCTGCCACTACTAAAATGACAACTAGTTGTCTTTAGAGGTTAGTTCAAAAGAGAAGTGATACTCCTAAGGTATTCTTCATTACGCATATTTTAAGTGCTTATTCTAAAGTGTAGCTGAATTTTAATTAGTTATTTAGGGAACTACGAAGACAGCTTCAAGAACACATTGACAGGTTTTATCAGTGAGTTTATAAACTTAGTTTTTAGATGACAGTGTGGCAAGGTTTGGAACTGATAAGAGTTAGGAAATACCACATTTACATAGTTCCACAGACTCAAAAACTTCTTAATTTTAGTATCGCCTTCCTTTGTATCCTGTGAACGCTGCATTTAAAAAACAGTTTAGCTTTCAGGACAGCAATAATCGTTAGTATAACTGAACAACAAATAACCTAATTTACCTAAGACAAAGTGCAAAAAAATTCTCCCAAAGTGAAGGTTATTATATATGCAATCTTATATAGCACCACTGTAGTCAAGCATGGCAGGGAACACGTTTTTCTACCATAACGTATTCAAGGTTTTCTTCATTCAAAAAAATAACGGCTGTCTGTTCAGCTGATGTGTGAAAATGAACACGCAAGCAACTGACCTCTTTGCTTAGTCCTAAAATGCTTTATCTTGGTTTTAGGTATTATATCTTGTGAAAAACTACGCTAGTCTTTACGAACAAGCAAGGCAACATATTATTCCACAGACTACAAACAAATCTACCTCTCGAGTGCCAAGTGTCTCACGAACAGCCATTTCCACATATAGATGCATTTCCTCACCTACTACTCAAAAAGCATTTTAAACAGCACGAGCAAGAAAACATGCATTACCTCAAAGGGAAAGTAAATATGTTGAATTCACATTCCCAATTTGACTTAATTATTGTGTTTATTTATAGGCTTGTCTATGACACTTGTCACAATATTAGAATGTCTCATGGACAAGCACACTTTGTAAGAGCTATCACATAAAATCAGGAACAGACTTATTTGAGGTGGTAGGTTCTTAATCAGTGTCTCAAATCAACGCCAAAAACATAAGCCGACTTCTTCCTTTTGCTCAAAGTACCAAAGTCAAAACCGTTACTATAACTGGGCAAGGTATACACTTCATATTTAAACCAAAAAGCAGGCAATTGAACTGCACTACCATCTCTTCTCTGCCACATATCCAACATCCTTCTGGGACTGAAGCCTGAACATGTTTTCAAGGATGCCAGCTACCAAAATACTATTACAACTTACTGCGCTTCCCAAGAACCGTAAGAGATTCCCAGTCAACACAGACCTCAAGTATTTCCTAATCCTTAAATAATTAACTAATTGCATAATCCCCTCCTTCCCTACCCCCATACACAGTAACTCTTTCTCTCCACAAATATCTCCTAAAATGTTATTACAGACCATTATCTGTTCATAAAATCAAAAACATACATGCCTTAAGAACTGCAGTCTAAAGCTGCTCAACTACTTACAACGTTGACTGCAGTAGAAGTTATACGCGAAGAACGTATCACAATCAAGGCACTCAGCTCTTCATTTTGTAAAGATATCATTATTCATTCTTCTTCCACGTCAAAAGGAATACAGGTACCGCCAAGGCGGAGAATGTCACCGCCAACTTAGGAAGGCAGTCTATTTCAGGAGACTATACTTAAGAGCTAACACTAAGTAAAAGTCTGAATGAATTACATTAATTATGGTAAGTTTCTCAGGAGATTAATAAGAAACAGCTGCCTACAAAGGCTGTTTCCTAAACCAGACAAAAAACCTTTATGCTCCCACCCACTGTAGGTTTAAATATCAGAATTTTATTTCATAACTGCCAATACTAAAATTTCTCTATTTTGTCATAACCCAATGATAATCTGATGCCATCTCCCCACTATTATTGAGTGTCTACAGTTTTCGGTTAGCACATCTCCAAAAGCAAAATTTTCATGACATATATAGGTAATTCACTAAATCTTCATTTCTTGTCCAAGAAAATGTTTGTTCTAACATTAAAAGCTTAAACCTATATAGCATCCCTAGACAATTAACCATGTCAGTTGGCATTAAGGATTTAAGCACCTTTCTGGATATAAGATGAGGTAGAGGCTTTGAGGGCCTGAAATAGCTAAGGAAATAAGATTGATGGATAGCATATCTATTGTTCTTCATGCAGAAGGATGAGTAGGTACCAAATGAAGTCAAACTGCAAGAGCATAAGAAAATATATTCATATAGCTTTTATATTTTTGATTATACTAAAATATTGATAGAAACATGCAACCATGATAGATCCATCAGCCTTACTATTGGGATTTATTTTAGAAAAAATAGAATTGATTTAAAATATTTTAGGTGTTCTGCACCTACTGAAAGAATACATATACGCCGTCTAAACGAATAACGGCGGACAAAATGGGGATCATTTCTGAAATGCATGCTGTGTAATTTTTATAAAAGCAAGCAACAAGTTTTCACTAGAAGCCAGTGTTTAGGAAAACTTGCTCCTATTTCAAATCAACATCAAGAGATAGCAAGTCTGTTTAGTTTAGCGTTCAAAAGTTTTATACAACTGCCACTTATACACGTAAGAATTGTTAATAGCTATATTTAACTTTACTGTCTTAGCATGGGGAAGGACCACGAGCTCCCATAAGCAGCATACTAGATTACATATAGTCGCTCTTGGACCAAATATGAACACAACAAATATTAAACTTCTATTTAAGTGGGGGGGAAAAAAAAAGATCCTTTCTTTTCCATGAAACATACTGTGGTGCTACAGTTCCATGCATTGAAAAAAACGTCATGAAGTTGTGCACTTCATTATGTTTCAGGTACTGCCCAGATGTATGTTATGCAACAACATCCTGCATCTGCCAACTCTGTTCTCTCAGGATAAGAATTGAGATGTTCTCACAAGCAACACATCACCTTTTCAGAAGTCTACATCTTTGCAACTACTAGACAAGTATTTAAAGTTTCTACAGTAAAACAGGTATAAAGCTACAAAACAAGACACTAAACAGCACTGTTGATTTTAACAGAAGTATTTCCAGCAATAGATTTATAACGAAGCATGGAAGCAGCATCGGAATAATTAGTTTTACTGCCATTCATATGATACTGCCAGAACTGATAACTGGCTAATGGTAAGCTATCAGATGGTATTAAATGGGGGGAAGAGAATGAATGTGTAAACTAAGCTACTGAAGAGCTAATAAGAAACTGAAGGGTGAAAAAGGACTCAAAATAGCACGATGTTTCACTCACATAGACCCTAGCAGTTAGTATTAATAAGTGGACTACACAGCACCAACACTGAAGTAGGTGCTCAGAAACAGAAGCACATCCTGAAAAAATGCCTCAGAGGACACGAGTGGGCAAGACTATTAAGAACCAGTTCACTATTCAGCAATTTATGCTTCTGCATGTTTTCTTGAAAAATTCATCCAAATAACCTTTTAATGTATTTGTGATAATTTTGCTTTGTGTAAATATAGCTTTTAATCTTTAAAGGGGCTCTGTACATTAATGCATCTACCATTAACTAATAATGTAGTGTATTCAAGATTGACTGATAATTTTGGAACGAGGCAAGATGAGGGCCAAAAAGTCCTTTTCTTGAACATAATTAGAACATGACATGGCCAAAAACAAATACACCAGAAGTGTTTTGCATTTGGAATCAAAACACATTTTATTCCAGCAGGTTTCTTTGAGGTATTCTGGGAAGCAGAAATTAGTCAAAAGTATAAAAAAAAAAAAGTATCTGGTTGTGACAAACTTAGTTTAACAACCTTCTTCACCAGACTCAATATGCACATAGCAACAAACACACACACCAATAGAAAAACCCCGCATAACTGCAGAAAGAGATAAAAAACTCAAAAATCTCAGGTCATATTCAAATAAGGCTTCTAAATAAACTAATAAACAGATGTATGCAGTAGTTTTATATGTGACTTGAGAAAGAAAAAAACAATTAGTTTACTAAAAAATCAGATATCGGACTACAGTGGAGCCATGATAGACTACATATCATACATTACATATGTATACATATCATACGTAATACATTACATATGTTACATAGCAATTTAATCAGAAAAAAGTTAACAAACTCTGACAAAACATCAATAGAATTTCCAAGGGATGGGAAAAGTAAGGCTGCATGATCTCAGAAGTGAAACACATCAGAGTGAAGGTATCAGGGCCTCGGGAAACGTTTACCACTGAAAGAGTAATACTTCCTCTTGTATACACATTCTTAAGTTGAAAATATAACTAAGAGTAAAAAGAGGATGCTAGTTATTTGGGCTGAAATATCAGTAATTACTTCCTAGTGATAAGAGTGCACTTTGCTTTAGGAGAGCCCTAAGAAAATGGTGAAAATAAAATTCAAAAATAAGACAAAATACTGCAATTCTATTTATATACATATGTATATGTATAAAATTAACTATGCATTTGCAGGAGACAGACTAGAATAGGTTACTTTGTTGTTACATCTGTTTTCACAGAAAGACCAGGAAAGGATTTTAATAGCAAGTAAAGGGATTGTTTGTTTGTTTGGAAACTGTAACAAGGCTTCTAGTTAAGATGATCCTTTTCCAGAGTAAAGAAGGGAGTGAGAGAAATTGCCTCAGAACACACGTGGTAAATAAACACGTACATTTGCTTCCTAGAACAATAAGGATATCAAATCTGCGTGTACTGGCTAACCCTATTCATGACACTAGCTAGTCGTTGACAAACAAGTACTGTGACATGTTATGGATTTTCTGGTACACCAAAAGGATTACAAAACACAACCAGAAGAGTAAAAAACATGAGGTGTCTCCCCATCCTATTAATAACACCACATTCAACAAAAAGTACCATCAGCTGGAACACAGAACGCTCGTATGAGAATTTAGCAATTAACTCACAGAACAAAACAACAAACTGAAGGTTTATCAGGAAAAAAAATGAACAGCTTACATTTACATAGAATCTTATCAGCGAACTTCCGTGCATTTTAAAACTGTTAAGGTTCAACATCCCTGTTAAACCGTATGTTTCACAGATTCGCACACAGGACTGATTATTTCCTCAGCATCATACCAGAATTTTGTGAACTTTATTTACTCGTTCAAGAGACTTAATGATACTCTTAAGACTACAGACAGTAAGTACAGATAAAAACACTAGACAGATGGACAAACAAGAGGGGAAATATTATTAAATTTTCTTATAATACTGAGCCCCTCCCCATCAAGTATTTTCCAAAGGGGGGGAAAAAAAAGATATAATCTGTATTTCTTTCTCCAAAGCTAGTAATGAACAGCAAAAGCATTCAAAGACTGAACGTTTTTATACTTCATTCCGTATGTTTCGGTGGCTCTACTGCTACTGCTTTGTCAGCTTAAAGATAGAAACGTGCCCGAGTAAACTACCTATAGCAGAAGGACAGAAGGTCTTTAGAATAAGAACGATACCTGAACGAGTCTCAAAGAAGAGAGTCTAGCTTCTGGATTTCAGCAATGAAACAGTAAAGAAGTGAACATGCATCAGGTATGACAAAAAAAACTAATGGTTGATTCAATTAAAAAAAATAGAAAACAGACACGAACAAAATTAATTTAAAGCAGAATGAGCTATAACTACCTAGGTATAAAGCATCAAACAGGCATTTGCGCTTCTAGCAAAACAAAGATCACAGTAGTTTTCATACACAAATGACACACAAGATGAAAAGAAGCAGCAGTATTGCACAATTAGGAGAACTAACTAGAGACTACATGCTACGCATGCTAAAAATCACTTTCTACAAGCTTAGAAAAGCAGGAGCTTTCTCTAATCACAGCAGAGCATGCTGATGCATTGGCCAGAGAAGTTCAATTTGCTTACCTCCTGTAAAAGATCTGCCTGTTCAATAGCTTTGAGAACATTTTTCTTGGAAGTCTCCTGAACTTCCCCTCCCAAAAGGAACTCATCCAGAATGAAATAGGCTTTTTCAAAATTGAAGATGATATCAAGTTCACATACCTGAAAAGAACATCAAGCATTACTGTAAACAGGGCTGATAACACCTACTGACCTGTCCTCTTACAAAACTTAACTTCTTCTCAGCTTCACCAAATTAAAATGTTAGCCTTAGGCTACACCCCTTCGAGAAGTGGGGCAACACAAATCAGTCATTTGAGACCAAAATAAATGAAAAGTGTCTTTTTTGCTCTAGTTAAAAACAACTATAGCAGCCTCTTTCTTTGAAAAGCGTTTCCATAGCCAAAAAAAGTTTAACTTATAATTTTCTATCTTACGTGGCTGTTCATAAGGCACAAGAACACCCCAGTAAGTGTTCTCTTCTTGCTTGCTTTATCCAAAGTGCATTTATCTAACTCCATACAGTCTAAGAGAAATTTTACAACATCATATTCTCAATTTTTTATTCATTCTGTGCTTGTCCTAGTCAAAGGCCGCAGAAGGATTGACAGTTACAGTCAATTATCAGTTTAGTCTGACCAAACATGAAATTTGTTAGATAAATCTTTTCAAAAGCTAGTTGATCGTTGTTTTATGCCACTGCACTTTTTAAAAAGTGACACAGTATAGTACACACTATGAATCTGTAAAAAATTACCCGAGAACACAAACTCACACTGCCAAAATACTTGTCAAGAAGTTCCACGTAGCGATGAATTATTTCCAGAGTTATTAGTTCATTGTCCTGATCTTCAATAGCACAGCAGAAATAAAGGCTTGCATATCTGTAATAACAAAATAATCTTTACATTAGCATAAGAACATGAGCAAAATGAACATATCTGAAAGGTGTTAAGTTCTCAGCAGGCCTTCATACTGAAGTCTACCACCATACTGTTATTTATACAGGGCCACACAAGTTCTACCAGGAGACGGCTAAGAGATCAGCAGTCATACACATGCAAAAAAGGAATCTGCTTCCTTGAGTCAAGCAAGACCTCAGTCTTTATCATCCTTTAACTGATGAGATTAAATTAGCCTCAGATACAGCTGGAAAAAATATATATTTTTAATATTTTAGCCTCCTGTCAAAGTTTTGAGGCAAGATGTTTCTTCTATTATCTCTAACATCCAAGGCCTGGGCTACTAACCAACAGATTACATCCTTAAATTTGTAACACACAAGCCACACATATGGATACCAACAACCACTGAAAATGTGCTAACTAGGACAGGTAAAATGATCTAGCAATTTAAGATACATCAAGTTGTATAATCCCTAGAGTTCAGGGACTGGTCTGTAGAGAGCTTTAAAAAAAAATCACCAAATAAGAAAACACTAACAAATGTTGTATGTCCCAAGTGCTATTAAGTCAACAACTCATTCACCAGCAACTGCTCTGATACCAGGCTAAGGAGAGGCCATCTGCAAGACACTACCAATCCACTTCCATACAGCAGACAGAAAATTCTTCACCTCAGATATGATCTTGAACTCCACTCTTAACAAAAAGACCCCTGCATGAATTCCCCTCCATACACTTAACTTTGTGTTTTTAAAAAAAAGCTAATGCAAAAAGGAAACAGGAAAGCTGAAAAATCCATTCAGTCTTATCTAAGAAAGTGCCAAAATGATATGCCATGCAGATACACATGGCAGAAATGACATCTCAAATAACACTTGTTGTAATTGGTAACTTAGGTGAACCAAGAACAGCTTCTGTTTTGCTTGTTTAAAGAGAGTAACAGGCAATATTAAGCATTCCTCGAGCAGCCAACCCTATTGAAAAAGTCATTCAGATGTGAATGCCAAGTTTATAAGATGCATATTCTTTTCCCATAAACAGAAATGCACACACCTTTTAAATATTACATAGGAATTTTATCAGCTGGGACATAGTAAGTACCAGAAGAAATTCTCAGAGTTTTTGGCTGGAAGAAGTCATGCAACAAGTTTTTGTTTTGTACTATGGAAAAAATGTGAAATTATATGAATATCAATAATACCATACAGGTGACTTACACCTATGTCTCTTGCTATAAGCAAGCATTTTAATAAGGGGGGGATTTTGGCCAATTAAACCTCATGCCTCTCTCCTTCAGGATATCTTTGAGTTTCCCTGGTTCAGGGATGTTGGTAGCATCACCTCAAACTAAGCCTATCCTTAAAAAGCCCCCACTCCCACAAAGAGCGTATGTTAAGTATTTTCTTACTGGCACTTGCAACAAACTACCATTTGCCTTGTCTACCTTTAGAAAAAACACACCATCTTGCTTTCTTGTGTTATTTCCTATAAAAGTCTTCTCAACACTCTAGCATAGGCATAGTCAAAGACATCTTCAGCTAAATATCTTGGGGCTATAAAAGAACAGATTACTCCTGTCATTCAAATAACAGTATGTACTCTGTCAATTTCAAATCAAACTTCACCCTAGCTCTTAACCTCAAGAATATAATGGGACTATTGCTCTTAAGCCAGATGTGCTGTAAATATCCCTATCTCGGTACTCATAGAGGAAAGTTTCTATCCAATTTCTGTCCAAATTTGTTTCCCACTTTGTAAGACAGCATCATTTATGATTTGCAAGACCCATTCCCACTCAGGCATAATTGAGTCAAAGTGATAACGGCTTAACCATGCACAAATGATCAGAATCACTTTTATCCAGAAGTTTAAGCCTTCTGCTATAAAAAAAGTTATTGCCTCTAATTTCTTTCCATCCTGCCACAAAACCTGACTTCAGACAGTGAGTGATACATCTCCCTCCAATGAGGCTCTTATATATTTAATTTAATATTTAAAATTCCCTTGTTCTTTTTTTACTTCGCCACTGTGACTTGTTAACTCATCCTAAGTCCCATCTGAGCAGTTTTCTGATTTTACAGTTGCTTTTGTCCCTAACTTTAATACTTCAAGGATATTTACAGTCATTGTAGTAGCTTGCAAGATGCAAGAAAATCACCTCTGTATAAGGTGTTTTTAGACAAAGTTCTTTAAAAAAAAAAAGTATTGGAAAGTGATACTCTACAGAAAAATTAGCTTTTCAAACCTAATGAAAAATTTCTAAATCAAACTCCATGTTAGCTTTAGGACATTAGTTGATGCATACTCTAATTATTAGCACCTATTTAAATAAAACTCTTTCCATATTCAGATGGGCAGCAACGATTGCAGTGAAATATAGTCAAACAGCTCCCTTCCACTGCTTAGACACAAGTTGAATCCTGTAACAGTGGACTTTATCAAATCAAATTTGACTCAAATATTTGAAATTTTTTTCCACATAGGACAGTCCTTTTGTGTTTCTCTATTACTTAAAAGTTTCTTTGATACACAAAACTGCTTTATTGAGGTAGAAAAAACAAAAAAACAAAGGAGATAGAAACTTTACTTAACAGAGAACACTTTGCAGGAAACTAGTCTGCTCTCAACGTCATCATTTAAAAGAAAACGTAATGTATTTTTGAAAGACTTTATTTAGCAGCTATTGAGTAGAGTACACTTTCAAGCTCTGCCAACTGCAGTTTCAGAGAAAAGACTACTGAGAAACAAAGCAACCTGGTGGACATCTTAATACAAAATGAAGGCCTGGGTAGCTATTATTATATGCTGAAAATATTTTTCAAGTTTTCTCAAGCAGGAGCCATGACTAATGGAAGATGGCCCAACAAAAGAAAACAAACTCAGATCCAATATGCCTATTCTGCAAATAAGGGAAGAGTATACACAAGTCAGTCGTAACTGCAAAGGGCGTGTGAATACTGCAGACAAAGATATATATTTGTTAACACAAATTCTCAAAGGTAATAGTTTGTTGGGGTTTTTTCCCCCCACTTCTCTCCAGGCAAGGGCTCAGAAAAAAAATGTGTCGATATACATTCTGGAGTAGATAAACTAGAGATTTTGTCAAGTCCAGAAGCTTACATGAAGAGTGCCTACACAGAAATGAGTAGATTTCTGTACTCAGGCTGAAAAAGTTTCTGCTCTGCAGAAGTGTTATTTCTTCCAAACTAGCCTAAGAGAACACTGGCCCTCAGACGCACCCAATGAAAAGCCAAATCCTCATAATAAAATACGCCACCCCACACTGAAAAGCAACTGTGGCCCATTCAGTAAGGAACATTCTGCCCTTTTTAATCTTACTGCAATTTATTGTCATCATTATTAGCAGAATCCTCAGTCATAAGTCAGCTGCTCACGCTCACTTAGGGAAATATTTTATGATAACCATCCTACCCTTGTCAGAAAGGGGACCTCAAAAAGTTTAAAAAAAAAAAAAAGTAGGGGAAATCACCCGAACTAAGAGTGTAATACGGTCAAAAGAGCAGAAAATCAACACAGGAGACAAATACTTACACAAATTTCTACCTTTACGTAGCTCACTTCATGGTTTTCTTGTTAGAAGGAAACAAGCCTTCCTACAGCAGTCACACTAATTCAGTAGTGGGAAGTTTCCCATTTGGTGGGCAATGTTTTAACCACCAAAATTCTCTTTCACTACTTAGCTCACAGTCAGATTCCGTCATTCTGCTATGGGGTACAACGGTCACTATGGGCAGAGCGTAACTTGTCAAGACCTACTGATTCAGCGGCGTTCTCCTACCAGATGAGAGGACACCGCTTGAAGTCATCCCTGGAAACATCACCAGGTAAAGCTGCAAACCATATCACTGTCAGCATCTAAGCAGGTTTGCATGTAAATTCTAACTGCAGAAATTTAAAGCCTACGGAGTTTAGCAAGAGCAGAGCTGAACTGAAAATGGCAACAAAGCTGCCTTTAAGCAGCAGGCAGGTGCTTAAGAGAGCTCAAGAATCTGGGGTTTGGTGATAGTTTGCCATCTTTGACCCAGTGACAGCTATGCCCAGCAAGACTTTTCCTCCTTTAGTAAAGAAACATGTATGTTCTCTGAAGCATGAAGTTTTGAGACTCCAGGACAGGCATATCAGTCACTATTCATTTAAAGACACAGAAATCATTAATAGTAATAACTACACCCAGACAGGCATTTCTTTCACAGTTTCTAATTTCAAACCTTAATTTCTAGAACTATTGGGCTTTTAAACAAAAGCTGTGTAATCTTCTGTAAGAGGAAGCTTCTTTTTATTGATCCTGAGGTCCTCCAAATGATATCAGAACTAGAATATTCTACAAAGACAGGCTGATCACGTTAAAATAACCACATCGAAGCAACTAGTTCAGTATAATATTTGAATTCAGTCAGTCGTACAGAGCTTCCTACTTGCTGTACCATTTTTAACAGATGCAGTTGGCAGTAAAGAAATATATAAGGAAATACACTGATTATATCAATTGCTGGGCACATATCATTAGAGAGTTAACATTACCGTACCATGGCATCGATGTACTTTGAGCTAGAGATGTGCACTGTTTGCACAATGGACCTTTTGGAGGGATAGAGGGAAGTGGGGTGCTAACAGTAAAAAATATCGTTTTACAACTTAAGTTTCTTCAAGGTTTTAAAGTAACCTACAATTAAGGTTATTTTACGTTAAAGTAACTGATGATTGCCACAACATTAAGAGCAGCACAAGTTGTAACAATTTTAAAGTACTGCATATGCAGTTATGTACTGCAGTATAAAAAGAAGAATCCTTGATTGAGTTACAAGTCAACAATAACTAAGTCCCATGATCTCAGTTTATCAAATGCTAACGAAGTAAATTTATGTAAAAAGCAGTTATTTCTAATTTCGACTGCAATACGTCACGCAACAAAAATAACTAACATCACAAGTTAAAGCAGTGAATAGCTGAGTGAACCTCACAAAAAAAAATATATATATATTGTTTCCCTCCTTCGCTTGCCCCCAAAGTTTCAGATTTACTGAAGAATAAGATGAGAAGCGGCAAATATTGAAATTTTTTTTTTAAACATTTGACACCAATTCTTCTGCCACAAGGGGAAAGCTGCAAGAACTTTGACCCCACATGCTCCAATATTACTACCAGTTAGAAGATAACAATATGTGAAGAGTGATCATCTGACTGCATTTGTTAAGTTTCCAATCTGCCATCTGCAGATGACTCCCTCCATATTGTAATAAAGTACAATTGTTGCTGGCATCCTAGATTTGATTTTTTTTCCCCAACAAAAAAAAAAAAAAAGCTCTACTTGTCTTTTGAAGTAACAAGTTCACGCCCTTTCTTCAATCTTCAGGTGTCCACTAACCTGAACAACTCTCTTCCAAACCTCTGACAGAATATATCCATCCTAATTTACGAGCCATGTCAAACGCAGGGCCACCTTTCCACCTGTTTTTTGTAGCTACAAAAAAGTAACTAGGAGAGCAACAATAACTGACCCAATTTTGCAACCGTGACTGCAATCACCTCAATGCTGCATGTATGAAACTTAAGAAAATAAAAAGAAAGTATTCATAAAAATTCAGATGGATCTTAAAGACATTTTGTTCTATCTTCTTGAACTTTCATTCAGAAAGTGTCCTATACAAATGATAAGGACGAAACGCTACAGAGCTATGGAGGCTAATCAAATATTCCAGTTTTCTTGAAAAATGTGAAAGATCAGAAGGCAGCTGAAGCTATTGGCTTGTCAATTTTGCACCTGAGTTGGTTTTGCTGCAAAGAGGTAAAAAACAGTAAAGTGCCTAGACTATATTTCTAATATGGCTAACCAGTCTTTGAGTTGGACAACTCTAATACCTGAAACTTTGGCCGTTAAGGGATTCTAAAAACAAGCAGTAAAGCACGGCACATCAATTTCAGCAATTCAAGATCTGCAAGAGCAATATGCATACGCTTTTAGAGTTAATGTAAAAAAATATATACACCAGGAGGTTCAGACCTTTATTAAAAATAGATCAGATGTGAACACATCTTAGTAGATATGCTTCAGGAGCTTTTTGCCCATGAGCAAGTGGGAGCATCTTCTGCAATTTCATAAACCAGACGCAAATCACAAATCAAAGTTTTTACAGATGTCATCTCTCTCTTTTGGTCATCAACCCTTCAGAAACTACTGGACTCTAATTGTCAAGGTTGTCTTCTTGGGATTATCTTCTTGAGCTAATACATCTCCCTTTTCAAAGAGGTTATGCTAGCTGGTACTCATCAACTTTAATTAAGGTAAGATGACTGAAAAAATCTTTCCTGTAAACCTGGAAGTAGCTATTCTTATCAAGTCACAGGAATTTAAATTCACTATCACTCCTTGCACCCAATCCTTCTAGTGCAATTTTAGCCTAATGAAACTTGCCTACAAAAGCAAAATAAGAAATTTTGAGAAATTAATTACCTTGATACAAGCTTATTTTAAGCAAAGATTTTTATAGGCTAACTGCACCACAGTGGCTCACAAACAGTGAAATACCCTACTGCATTCAGCTGTGCACATCAGCAGTCTAACAGATGGAGTGTAGTCCACATCCAGTGGTCTACACACATCTACCTGCCAACTTTGTTCTCCTTGACCACAGGCCCCACAACATCCTACTGAGATATACGAACACCACAGCTTTGAGCATCTTGAACACCCATATCTGAATTTCCACCTAGTTCACTCGGCATAAAAGGGCATGACAGGAAACAGTTAACAGCAGTAAACAGACAAAGGGGGAGGACAGCTGTGTGGACCCAACTCACCACCAGAACAGCTACTCTTCTGCAGTGCTGGGTAAGGAGGGGAACACACTGGCCTATTCATGGCTATTTTTTCTTATCTAGTCCCATAAAAGTCTAGCTGAAAGAGCACTTGCATACATCATCACTTAAGGGAGCACAAAGAACATTTAAGCAAGCTTGTCTACATGTACGCACAGTAAGTTTTTGTGAGGAAATCAATAGCCAGAATAAAACTGTGCATGCTTTCTTTAAGCATGACCTTATGCACTATTACTCCTCCTTCCCTATGGATGCTTCCTTATTCTTACAAGCTTAAGAGAACTATACCCATCAGTTACATTGGTAACACTCATGTGCATGATGCTACATGCACTGATATATATATTTTTATATATATATATATCTCTATCTCTATCAGATCAAGATCTAAGGGTCTAATTCTTGGAGAATAGTTACTAGCTCTTAATTTCAAGTCCAATTCTCTTTCTCTTCCCTTCAGAGAGAAGAGAGCAATATTGTACACACAGAAATTATTTACTATCTCAAAGAGAAATAAAAATGTGTAAACCTTTTAAATTTTATACATAACCAGGGAAGGGAGTTAACTCAAGGTTTCATACATCAGCTTTAGATGGAAGAGATCCATCCTAGCAAATCAGGACGAGAATAACAGTTATTTGTGCAGAAAAGTATTTTCACACGCCTACTTTGCATTACATTCTAAAAGGTCAGCATAAAGCAAAAAAGTTGTAGCCACATACCCTTAGAAAAGTTAGCAATAAGTGAGAAATGAAACTATTGCCAAAGAAAAGTATACAGTACTTTCACCAAAAGAAAGTTAAGCATGATTTCTCAAGTTAGGAGATACTCCTTTTGTATTCATAGCAAAGAAAATCTATTTACTCAGAAATAAAAGAGTAACATTCTTACTTCTTTGAGCCTTTAAAAGTAAGTTTCAATTTGCAGCTGATTTATGAAGTCACTGTCTGAGGTAAATGTTTATAAAATTTAGTTTTTCTTTATTAGCTATTAAATCATGCATGCTTCATATTTGTACGCGTTTATTTTCTGTGGGCATCTAAGCAGAGAACACGAACCACTCCTTATTAAAGTAGAAGGAAATCTCATCCCTTTTCTTCAGTACATTTTCTAAATGCATGAGTGATTTTCCGCACATGAATGATTCCTACTTGGTTATCAAATTAGATTCAAGGAAAAACCCTCAGAACCTATACTTCTCCATAACCAGTGGGGGGCAGGGAAGGAATGGGGAAATCAACCTTTACTATTTTCTTGCTACTTATTACATTGTTCGTGATGTATGGCAATTATGAGGTTAGTGAGACAGAACAACCTTTTGTAGACAATCTTCAGGTCTCTCCACTCCAGGAAGCTGCACATTTTCGGTTTGCGGGCTAATACTGTTTGAACAAGTTCCCTTGTGATTTTCTTCTTTTCTTTGTCAGATAATGGAACATACCACTTTTGAAGTCTCAGTTTCCCCTGACGACTAAAAAGCAACATAAACTGCATCTGTTGAATTGGAAGCAGAAAAAAAGAAAGAAAGGATTAATCTCAGTCTCTTAGTTGTATAAAGATTTGTATGAGGAGAACCAAATAGGAAGCAAGATAAGGCATCCAAAGCCGCAACCACACTAAATATTTCTTAAGCAGTAGCAGATGCTACATGAGATTTGGAAATACAAATAATATAATATTCAACTAAACAAGGTTAGTCACAGCCAAGATGGAAGAAGGCATACACAAGTTTCAGAAACAGATCTCGGAGACACCGGACAGTGAATAAACCAAAATTTCAGATAAACCATGTCCAGCAGTGATATAGTTGTATTTGCACTTACTACAGACAAGGATAAAAAACAGCATAGCCGTCTCCCGAAACACCCAAACTCGTTTTCCACTGACCGGATTATAGCCTTACAACAGGAGCAATTTGCACTTAAGATCTTTCCGAAAAACCTCAGAATACTTTAAGAGGCATTAAACCTCCCAATGGAGAGTCCTACGGCACAGAAAAGCCTTGCCTCCTCTTGCATTACACAAAAGGAGTAGACATTAAGTGCTGTGCCTGCAGTCCTACCCTCCAGGTCTCGCTTCCTCTAAAGGAGTGATGTTGCAATTACATTTTAAGAGGAACTTGCCGGCTGTGTTTTCCAGCAGCTGTAACATTAAAGGAAACAGCCTTTTTTCCTTCCACCCTTTCTGCTCAAAGTTGTACAGTGCTGAGGAAGTTTCCCAGGCAATCAGCCAGGCGTGAAATACCACGAGAAAGCCCAGCCTCGCCCCGGGTGACAAGTTCCAGCAGCGCCAGCACAGACAAGGGGCAGCAGAGGCAGCCCCGAAGCCCAGCGGTGCCGGGGGGTCCCTCCGCGCGGGCCACCCCCCCACACACACACTCCGGCCGGCACCGGCGCCACGTC